TGCTTGGCAGGCTGAAGCCCTGGTGTCTGGAGCTTCCCTCACCCTCAGAGAAGGTTGTGCCGTCAAGTCTTTGCTAAAAGAAGGCACTCGGAGACCTGCGGCTCCTTCTCTTGCTGTCCTGTCGCCTGTGCCTACCTTTAAGGTGCTTTGTTTCCTTCCTCTATGGCAGTCTCATTTTGGTTTTCTACCTTTAGGATGACAACTCCTAGAAGTTTTCATGCGTGTTTGTCTGCCTGTGTCTTCTACCCAATGAGTAAACCTCTGCCAGAGAGTACTGGCACTTCTAAGTCCTTGGGAAATGTTGTCTCTCGTCTTGATAAGGGAGAGGAGTTGCGAGCTAAGAGTCCAGGAACTATCCTTTTTCCAAACCAACCGCGTTTTTTGAATTCTCGGTGTTGGCAGGTATTTGCTCGTTGGTTTGTTTGTAGGATCGTCAACACCCACTTTTTGATTCTTCTGTGGCTTTGGGCAAGCTGTTACTTCACCTTTATCTCTTTTAGAGAGATCAGTGGTAACAGTACTTTTGCACCTCTGCCTTACGGGATTCAGTTGTTAATATTTAAGTAGTGCCTTCTTGATATCAAGTGTTATGCAGCTGTTTAGCAGTATTTAAGGATTAAGACTTGGTTTATTTTTTGAGTTTACACATGGATCTCTCTCTGTGTCTCTGAACAAATCGTTCCATTCTCATGGGGAAGAAGTGGGAAGAGGATTCATGTTTCTTTCTAGTGGCTGGTTCTGGTGGCTTTTTCCAACAAAAAACCTTTTTAAAAAGGATGGGAACTCTCCAGCAATTTCTAGCTCATCATTTTTTTTTTTTTGTCTTCGCTTGCATTTTTTTCCTCCTTTTTTTTTTTTTGCAAAGCCTTTTTTTTTCCTTCTCTCCCAGCTGCCCTGCCCTCCTCTGCTTTACTCTTCTGCTCTGATCATCTCCTTGCAGCTGTGCAGATCTACTGCTCTGCTCCCTGCAGCTGTGCCTCCCTTGCCTTGGATGCCTAAAGCAGTTGGTAGGGAATGATACAGGGTATCTTGGGGGCTATAAGAAAAACAGATGTGCTACATTACCCCACCAAAAAGGGCCACCAGATCTCTCAAAGCAATTTTATTAGCTTCTGCGAGTTTTTGTCAGGTAAATCCAGCACAACTTGTTTGTGTGTGTGTGTGCACGCTGTTCCTATTTACTGTAATGTCCACGGATATCGAAGCCAAAGTAAATAATGGAATTGCACTGATGTTCTTAGAAGTTAATGAAATTCTTAGTTAAAAATCGCATGGTAGTAAATTAATGTGGATCATGTATTGTAAGTGTTTTTGTAAGAGAACTGAGACTCTAAACTGTAGCCTTCAAAATACTGTGAAATTTTAAGCTTACATATTGCAACATGAATATAAAGTATAGAAATAGTAACATCTATCCTATCTGAATTGGCATTTTGCTGTGAAATGATGACAACTTGAACATCGTGTGAAAGAGATGCCTTCTTTTTACAGCCCTTTATTTATAGTCAATTAATTAAACCTGGTAAATATGGCTGCATCTGTCTCTGAGCTAACTAAAATATGAACTTAAACTTTAGTGGAAAAACATTATAATAAAGATGTCACATCATATTGAAAGATTGCTAATAGCATAGTGGTAATTTACAAGGTAAAGCTAATAGAGCTACACTTGAGGCTGTGATTCACAAATGAGAATATTGGTGGTGTGCCAATTCTTCTCCAGCATGCAGCAGTGTTCTCATCTGAAGCCATAAATGTCAGTATACTGAAGCTGGTGACTTACAGAATTTTTAAAAATAATTTAGCCAAAGCGTTTAAGAAGCATCTTACTAGGTTAATAATTTTATCTTACCGATACATGATATTGACTGATTTCTGGCAAAATGACCCAAATTTATTGGTTGTCATTTTCAGCATTCAGTGGTTGTTCTTTATTCTTTTAAGTCTGCCTCGACTTGGGCATGTATAATAACAGCTTTCCAGAAATTCCTGAATATTCATGTTAAGATTTATAGCTCATTTGTATTCAAAAATTTCTGTGTCCCACATAAGAACACTCTAATGGCAGTGTTTTAGACCGTGGTTAATAATATCACCCTGTAAGAATGTGATCTGTCCTTGAAACATCCCACATAGCCACAGTCTTGGCATCAGTAACACTGATCTGGTCAAGCTCATTAAAATCCCTTGAGTACAAAACATCGGCCCCTCTAGATAGCAAGGCAATGGAATTAAAAAATATAATAGCGGGCTTTGCTGATGCTTGAGCATGATTGGCAGCAGCCACAAGGCCTGTATCCTGTACTACCATCTCCAGCACCTGCCTAGGCAACCTTTTTGTAATGCCAATCAGTCAAATACCAGTTCCATTTCTATAGGTTTCATTAAAGGGGAAAGAAAGAAGAGCTACTTAGTCTGTGCAGAGTATATTATTGATATGCTGATTAAGCATAACGCAAGTGATCATTAACTGCAATTCACGTAAATTACAGCAGCACAGATGTGGGGGTTGGGAGGATAAAAAAAGCAAGTCACTTTAATAATATACAACAGAAATGTGATGGATAATTCATACAGGACAAAAAGAGTACAGTCTAAATCCCGCTCTGCATATTCATGCGAGTAGTTGTACTGGTTTCAGCATCTTTTTTTTTTTTTTTCCTTTAGTAAGAAAGATGTTTCTAATTTGACTCTAGCTCCATGTTCTTTGGGAAGTTTGGAAAAAAAAAATATATATTTGTGACATAATCGCAGTACGTCATTCTGCAGTCATCCAACTTGGGACTTGATCTTCACATGTTTATTACTCATATTTCTGGACTTGAAATGTTGGAGCACTTTTTTTTTATATAGTCAGTAGAAAAGTAAGAGAGAAATCATGCTTATCTTGTTTTGCTTGTAGCTAGAGAAAAGAATGCTCTGGCATTTATTATTGTCATGCAATAGATAATTATTAAAAAACCAAACCCCAACCAAACCAAGCCAAAAAAACCCAAACAAAAAACCCAACCCCAACCTGTTCTGTACGTGGCCAAAGTTAGTAAATTGCGGTCAAAATTTCAGAAGACTGGTTGGGAAATAAAGACACTGTCTTTGATCGTGACAGAAGTTTTCTAGGTCCCCAAGTTTCTTCAGAACCATCTGCCTTCTTCAAGAGCTGGCCGTGCTCAGTACCTTAAACTTTTGGGCACGTACCTCAGCTGCTGACCGTACACTGAAGTGCTTTGAAAATCTGGTGTGAATAACGTTGCTTTTTCTTAGTGGTCTCTCTCACGATCATTTGGACAAAGCAAGCTGATCATCTCAGTAATGGAAACTGGTTCGTATTAGAGAAGGATAACATTCCCTGCTTCTGTAATAGTTTGTGTTGTGCTAGGAAGGCTACAGCATGCGTGACTGAGATTAATGAGAGTTTTTCCATCAATGGAAATTGGGTTAGAATCCAAAAATCCAAGTGAAAATGAAGAAAATGCCTCCTTTCTTATATTTCAAAAGCCTGAAAGTAGTTTGTCGCATTAGACTGTATTACTGCCTACGCATGAGAGTAGCAGTCTCCCTGGCTGCGTTTGTTCTGGTTTTGATAGTCAGCTCATGTGTGGCAGTGTAAAAACTTTTTGGCCTTTTTTGGTGGGATATCATGGACACAGTGACTGAAGAAGACTCTAAATAAGCATCTGGATATCACTTGTGACTAGATGAAGGTAGAGGAGAACTTGTGCAGAGTTACATTTTGCCTGTGATCAAGGTGCACTCAGACAAGCTGCATTCAAGAATCACTTATTCAGGCCACTGGGAACGGAAAGTTTCTCTGTTTATATGGAAGACGTTTTCAAGATTAGTAAGTATTTCCATGAGCGGTGGAAATAATGAGGTTTGTTTTCCTGCAGCTTTGTGTCTTGTGGTTAATTGCGTCCGGTGATGGGAGGTTTTTTTGCAGTAGGTCCTTAGTGCCAGTAGGTTTCCTGGTGTCACGCTTCAGCCTTCCCCTCAGCTGGGCACACAGAAAGTTTCTCATCCGTACATGTGTCTCTTGCTTTCACACCACTGCAGAATCTTAGGACAGCTGAGCCATCAGAAAAACTTGAAACTGGCCAACAAATACAAAAATTTATGAAACAACCTCATTTTAGTTTTCTTTTGATACCGACTGACATCTTAGT